TGTTTAAAAAAAACCCAATTCATAACAGATTCATATGGACAGTTGATACAGGTCTAATATTTAACAACGAACATGGGAGAGCTCTTAATGGTGCTGATATGAAAGTCTGAACAAGTGAAGGTTATTTCCCCTTTGAACGCACAGTTTTGACTTTTTTCTCTTCTCTGTATAAAACTATCTGTTGCACTGTGAAGATGAAAAATTCAAAAAGCAATTAATAAAACAGTCTGTCTGTAAGTAAAAAACACTTATGTGAAACATGCACGCACTGTCTATTATTATCATGGTCTACATCAGGGCTATTAAACTGCCAGCCCAAATTTGACCCAAAGAGGCCTAACAAGGGGATCAACTGCCAATTGCAGTGTAATCTTTGCTGTGACAGGGTCTACAACATTCCAGATTTTCAACACTGTGGTCCCTGAGATGAATGGCCATGGTCTACATCACAGACGAAAGTATCTTAACAAAAATGTTAGCATATGTGATCTTGATTTATGTTTGCTTTATTACAAACTTATGAGAAGAGGGTCTTATGACAAATCTTTGGACACATCAAAGATGCAATAGAGAATTGTAGATAACAGAGACAAAGACTGGGAATGTAATGGCAGACCATGAGGTAGATGTTAGAGATGACAGAGAATTTACAGGCAGACCTACAAACACTTAGGAGTCATCAAGTGGACAGACAAGACCAATAAGTGAAATAAATGGAGGTGAGTGATACCCATGGCAATGAACCTCAAGGGCTCGGAATGCCGAAGAAGAAGTGCATGTTGAAAGATATCACATAAATATTTCAAAATGCTTTGTATCAATTTAAAAAAAAAAATGATAGATTTAAATGATGTGGGCGATCAATGTTTTTATGAATTGCCCACAGACTGTTACTGTGGTTTTTGGACACTGGTACGAGAATCACACACTGGAAAAGACTGGGGCTTCACCACACAATATTCCCCCTGTACTGAATCTACACTGTTTGGAGATGGCACCCCAAAATATAAGTTTTCGAAAGAGAGTTATATGTATATGTATACATATATAAAACTGAAATTTTCTTACCAAATGGATCCAAGTGCAAAAATTCTAACTTGTCTGCTGTCTTAGGCCTTTGTCTGTATAACTGGTGGCCGGTCCCAGCAAGGCTTTTTAGCAAAACTATTACAGACCTGCAAAGGGATCAAATTAAGTGTGAGACAACTGCAGAAATCCAGAAACACTAATACATTTCTACCCAAGACAATAATACAAACATGAACAAGTTCAAAATGAGACAGACCTAAACAGATGGGAAACCCTACAGCTGGTCATGCGTCTTAGTATACTTGTTCCTACAGCGAGTCGATTTTGTCATTTACAAGTGACAGGTTCGATTTCTGGCATGATAAACCATAGCTTTAGATTTTCATGCTGTTTAGTGTGTCCTTCTATCTTTGTACTTCTTTCCATGAGTGCCAAACAATACAGGTCTATTTATTTATTAAATACACAAGTTCAAAACGAGACAGGGATGCAGAGGTGTTGAACCACACATGTTGCACCAAGCCCAGTGCTGTCTACACCTCTTCCCATAACATAACTCTTGACCCATTAGGGTAAGGGAGGTGTATTGATGGAAGCACTAGCACAGAAAACCCGATATTTTTTAAATCTTCAGCTTGTTGAATAAGTGCTTCTCACTATTTAAGCAGGATTTATTTTTTAATTTAACAAAAGCGTCTGTCATCTGTACATGAAGATTGGTTTAACAGTCCAAAGCCCATGTCCTCATCTTCTTAGACTCTTCCATCTTCTCTTCTTTCTTTGCTTCAGCAGGTTTGGCATCTCCACCACCTGCAGCAGGAGCTCCGCCGGACATTGCAACCGGTCTGCCCAAGCAGCACTGCCCACGTTGCTGATCAACTCTTTAACGTTTAGGCCGTCCAAAGCGGCTCAACAGATATATTGGCTGCTTTGAGAAGTGTTGAAATCATGACACCGGTAATTGCTACTTGGTCATCTGCCAAGATAAGGACGGCATAAACGCAAGGGAGTTCGTCTGAATCAACCATTATTATTGTTTTCATGTATGGATTTCAAAACGTGTTCTTTTTCTCTACAGTCCTGTCTTTCTTAATGTTGTCATTCCATTTTTTTTTGCCCTCCTCTTCTTTGACTCCCATCCCCCTTAATGTTCCTTGAAGTGCAGTCTTTGCCATCAAATCATGTCTCACCACGTGCCAGAACTAAGCTAGCCTGTGACATTTCACCACTGCCAAGAGAGGCTCCTGGTGCCCTGGAAATTTGTATATTTTGTTTCTGATATATATATTAGTTTTGTGTTCTAAATAACGAAACGAGGGGAAGTCAATAAGTAAGTCACAAATGGTTATGGGATGGCAGGAAAATGTAGTTGGTGGTTATAAAGGTAACAGCAACATTAGACTGTATGTCCCCATTCGTTAGACTGCGCTAGATGTAGCATGCACATTTGCAACACAGACACAAAATGGTGACTGCAACTACAGAGTGTACCCTTAATAAACAACATGCATTTTTTCTGGGGGCAAAAGGGCTGCCTGCAAAGGACATTCATAAAAAAAGGCTTCCTGTTTATGTTGACAATGTTTATCTCGCAAAGCGGCACATAGCTGGGTAAAATTTGTTTGCTAGAGGACGTGCTAAAATTGTTGAAGTCCGGTCTGGTCATCCTGTTGAAATTGAAACAGACGCATCTGTGTAGGGGGTGGAGGAGATGATTAGAGGTGACAGGTCAGTAATGGTTGACTCTGTAGCAGCTGCAATAGGGTGCTAACATGGCTTAGCATACAATACAATGCATGATAAATCAAAATTTAACAAAGTGTACTCAAGGTGAGTACCCAAACAATTAAATTAATAGTTTTTAAGTTGTTATCATCTTTATTTTTTTTAAACAACCATTTGTGACTTACTTATTGACTTCTCCTTGAATCTTTTGTACTTATAAAGTTCCAAACAAGACAGGGTCCTGATTTTCCCAAGACCCTAAAACCTCTAATATATGGAGTGATCTGCTAACACTCCGCTATCTCTTCTCTCCTGCACTGGTTGTAGACGTGTGATCTTTTCCGGCTGTTATGTGGAATTTCCATGCCTCCAGTTAATGTTATCATTCATACTTCTTATTTCTAGGTGAAATAATTTTTTTTTAACAAATGACTTGGCTGCTGTTGCCCAAACTGCAAATACAGTATTCAAGGACCAGCCTGACTCAGCCAGCATATAGCTTCTTAAGATCTTTCTCACCTGTTCCTATTACTGACATATGGCAAGCTTTTTCATGACTGCCATTCTTTGTCATGCTCTTGTTTTATATGTCTTAACTTGTGTTGGACATGATGGAAAAAAAAAATGACATGCATAAATTTTTTTGTTATTATTTTCTTTTTATGGTAGAAAAATTGTAACATTTTCAAGACAGAGGCAAATGTTAAAAATCTTACTTTCCAGACGACATTCTCTTAATCAGCTAAGGCAATCAAGCAGCCAGAGACACCAAGTAATTTATTCAACAAATCAATCTGTTGGTAGAAAGAAATGAAGAGACATGCAGATGAAAACAAATTTAAGAAACAACATAATTTAAACATAGAAGATGCAAACAAAAGTACAGATTAAGACTAGACAACCAGGGGGCCGCGTTAGCGCAGTCGATAAGAGGCTCGCTTTCAAATCCAGCTGCAACCCACGGTCTGTGTTCGAAACCGGGCGGCTCCCGGGGTTCACCCAGTCTCTAGGAAATGGGTACCAGAGTTGACACTCTGGGGTAAATGGAGGAACGTCGCTGTAGTTACAGAGTTATGAGCGAATGACGACAGGCGGGGAGTTTCTTATTAGCTGTCCGTACTGGTGGCAGAGCACTTATGATTTATAACCAACCGTGTGCAATGACGCTGGTTCACATCTCCCGACTTTACCTTTTACTAGACAACTGTGGCTCAGTGACATCGATCACAGGCGTGAGAGAAAGTTAAGGTCATTGTGATGTGTTTAAATAGTTACTCTGTACCTCACCTCAGGTGTTAGCCGGCTCTTGGGTAGTTTTACGGATCCTCACCCAAGACTTCTGCCGCATGTCCACATTGTTAGCCACGGATTAGGGTTCACCTTTGTGACCTGAACAGAGCTGGCAGGAGATCTCAGAGTTTGTGGCCCCTAGAGATGTAGGTAGTGTCCAATCTTGCTCACATCAGCCAACCTCCCCCCCCCCCCCCCACCCCCTTCCAGTGCATGGGTGAAAATGTATATCAAAGCCTAATTTGGAACATGGGCAATCACCACAAACAAGCCAAACACACTATAATTATAATAAATAACAACCCTCGGTTAAAAAGTCGGTACACTGGGAAGAACTACTGACTACTGTACTACACTACTTACATGCAGACCTATAACAAGAGATTTGCTCGCAGCCTAGATGGGCGACATTCAACATCTTTTGTGGGCAGTAACTCGCTGCACAGTACGAGTACTGACTGTACTGTATCGTATCTGTATATCAATATATCCTTGTGTTCCACAACTGGCACAACACAACGCCAGAGTATACTTATACTATGCTCAGTATAATTATAATAATAATAATATAATATACTATAGTTCTCCTAATCTAATAACTGAATTGGAAGTTACCATTAAAAACCTCAACATTACTAAAATGCTTAATGAAAAATAATCGATCCTTAATGATTACCGATATCTCCAGTTATATCTCAAGTGTAGAGCCACCAGGACAACAACTTTTCCTTTCACATGTTACAGTACAAGGTCGCCATGAAAATACGCCAGTTTGTGCGGGACTGTGACAGGAAGTAGCCGAGTGTTTACGGAAAGCGCCGATTGCCACGTTAGCAGTCGCAACGATGTTGACGGGCGACGGGATGTTGTAGCTTGGAGTTCTCAAATCACCAAGAAACACCATCTACTACAGTTTTGTCACCAGTTTATGGTTGTAAATTATATTAACTGATACAATGGAGATCAACTGTTACGGATTTCTGCTGTTCTGCGCGTATTTTTTGATTGCCGAAAGTATACATTTTCATCTCGGCTCGAATCAAAAGAAGTGCCTTCGGGAGGAGATTCAGAAAAATGTTTTGGTTACCGGGGAATATGAAGTTCAAGACAATGGACAAAGAGCAGATCTCACTGTAAGTAATTAACTGTGCGACCACTTTAGTTAGATGAACATGACAGTTGTTAATAATTAGAGCATACATAGCAGAACAGTCCATATTAAATCACTAAATTAGCTGTACTGTCACTACTGTAAACAATGTTGTCTCACCACTTGCTGCGAGCAATCTGCAATGATTTATTTATATCATTTTTTTAATTATGCCCGAGTGTGACATGAAGGATACAGGTATTGAGGTGGATTCGGAGGAACAAAATCCCATGGACCGTATTGTATCATACAATGTATGGTAAGGGAACTTTAGGAAGGGGATGCCGATGAGAATGAATAAAGTGATTGCAGAAAGGATGAGATCTGAGCGTCTGAGAACAAACAAACACAAATGTTGGCAACAGCAGGATCCTAAAAATCCAATTCTGTTATGGATGTCTTTTCTTAATGCTGGCGGGTCTTGCTAGTCACACTCGCCATCGCCATGGTCTGAGTCCCACCTGTATGGTTGAACTCAGCTAAACCCTTTCGCTGCTATGGACGAGATAACTCGTCTGCCCGGCAGACTGCTAAAGACGAGATAACTCGGCTGCCATTTTCTGTGCCCTCACTGCTAAGGACGAGATATCTCGTCCTCGACATTTTTTTTACAGATTGCTAAGAACAGTAATTCTTAGGGGTGAAATAGCAATACACATTACCTTAATCTGATCAAACTGACCCGTTTACATACAATTAAAACCCTTATCAAGTGAGTTTAGGCGTAGTTAGATGCATTTCACGTTATCCTGTTGCTTTGTTACCATAGAAGCATTGTCGGTGAACAGTAATTTTTTTGCCCTGAAATATATTACTGGTTTTGCGTTAGTCTAAATTTTTTTTTTTAATACAAAATAACAAGAACATTTGTTTAAATAAAGAAGAATTAATAGAGTTTCTTTCAAGGAGTAGTAGTAAGGATCACTTTAAAGCGTGTGAGTTATATGAGCTGGGTTATCTTCGCGGCACGCCGGCGGACACGTGTACTTCTGGCTGTGAACAAGACTGACCAGTAACCATATGACCTAGCTATCTACATCGACTGGATTTGAAACGGATCCAAAATAATCAAAATAAAGATATGGTCACGGACTGACCTGATGTTTAATATTAATGTTAATTATATAGTATACAACTGACATAAATGTGTTTGTCAATTAAAGTGTACAATACTGGTCTTTTTTTCAGTTCATAGTTTCATGTGAATTTCTAGTGTAGTTGGTATCACGTCTGCCTTACAATCGAAAGGTCCAACGTTCAACCCCTACGTGCCGTTAAAAAAAAAAATTATTTTAAATGCAAATTTAAAATTTAATCTCTTAGCATTTTCGGCAACAGATCACCGAAGTAATAATTAATTAAACATCCTGCCACGTGCGTTCAGGTGGATTTAGATGCTTTACACGTTATCCTGTTCCTTTGTGAAGCGTGGTTGGTGTACTGTGCACATTCATTATATAAAGTTGTTGTGGGGAAAAACACACCTGTTGATGAATTTCACTTAATGTTAGTAAGAGAAATTCTACAGAAATATTGCAAGGAAAAGAGAAAATGTGTAGGAGGACAAAAAAGTGAAGATCTGCCACTTCTTTTAGTACAAAGGCATTTACCTTCAATAATAGAGTCCGTAACATCGCATAAAAAATTCCCAACAAGAAAGTGTGTGGTATGCGCAAAAAGCAAAAAACGACGGGAAACCAGATACATGTGCAAGGAATGTGATTTGGCATTGTGTGTCGCACCTTGTTTTGAAATATTTCACACACAAAGATATTATTAATAATAATAAAAACCATGTATTTGCTTACTAAAGTGTTTTGTGTTTGCTTTGTAAGTTTGTAGTGTTTTCTTTTTGTTAATGAGTTTTCATGGCGTAGTAATAGCGCGTCTGACTTGTCAGCACAAAGTTCAACCACACGCCTTCAACGATTTTTTCATTTTAGGTGAACAATTTTTACCCCGTGCCGCAAGCGCGTCTTATGTGTTTGAAGGAAAAAAAGGTATTCAGCACAGGGGGAAAGATTAGCTCTCGCCTGGCTTAGCACAGAGGTTACGTTGGCTGGCGGAGGGCGCAGCAGCGAAAGGGTTAATGATATTCTGGATGTGGGTTCATAGAATGGGCTCGTGAACTTGTTGCAGTTGAAGTCTCAGTCATTAAAATCCGGAGGGATATACTAGGTGAAAGATCCATATTAAGGAAGTTGGGGACAGGCATGCTTCGTGCAGAGTGGCGTGCTGGCTTTGGAGGTCATGGGTGAGGAGCATCGCCTGGATCTTATCTCCCTACATGCCAGTGTGTTGGGAAATTAACATGACAGACTAGCTGGCTCAGCACAACTTGGTGGAATATTGATGCTTGTTAAGGCAGACGTGGTTAGGGTATTGTGGGAGAACATGTACAGTTCCGAAATGCGAATGAATCACCACAGTCTGGTGAGAATGATAAATGGGGAGTTACAAGGGGATCTGGCCGATACACGATATTCAGAGGAAAGGCAAGAGGGACGTCTGATGAGAATGCTACTGGCATCATTGGTACTGGAACTCTGCTGTAGCTGCTGAAGACAGAGACGGATTGCTTACTGGAAAGCCCTGAATGCTGTGATGTCGGTTCTTAACTGAACTCAGCTCCATATACTTATGGGCCGAATAGCTCGATATATAGTGACGAATTTCTGCTGACAAAATGAACTCTTCATTATGTTACCTGCTGGGTGATTTCAGGTGACCGATTCAAGGGGACATATTCTCTACTCCAAGGAGAATGCAAAGAAAGGACGATTTGCATTCACCACAGAGGAGTATGACCAGTTTGAAGTTTGCTTTAAAACAGAAACTACAGGTAAACATAAATTAGGTCATAGATAACAGTTTACTTTTCATTCTATTTACCGCTGGGTGGGACCTTTGCAGAAAACAATAGCAGAGCGCTTTAACTTGCTTCCTTTAACAGATATTCACATTTCAGTGTTTGGGGGGGGGGGGGCATGGTAAACGGTTTTATTTTACTTTTCATTCTATTTACATCAGGGTGAAACCTTTGCAAAAAACAATAGCAGATCGCTTTAACTTGGTTCCTGTAGCAGTATTTTCTTAACGGATATTCAGTTTAGTATGATTTTTGTGTGGGGGGGGGGAGGGGGGGTGTTAAATGGCTTTATTTTACTTTAATGCTATAGTAATTTTCTTCGACACCTTCCGACTTTTTTTTTTTAATAGACCAATCAGCACTCGGTGGCTGATGTGGTCAACATAAGGCCAGCGGCCTTTACTTTTCTGGACTTTACCTGGTACCTGTTTGAGGCTAGGTTGACCTGGAGGCCAAGATCATTGAAAAAAAAAGTCTGGCTCCATCAGGGCCAGAGCCCACAATCTTTGGATCTGCAGGTGAGCATGTGGTGGCTTCCCCAGACCCAAGTAGTGACTGCTTCTTTCTAAGTGTGACCTCTTGGAATAGAAAGTTACATTAACAAAGTCTTAGGACTGAAAAAGTAAATAATTACCATTTATGACATGCTTGTTGAGGGGCAGTGGTATGAGTTTAAACCATTCAGAGGCAATGGCAAACTACTGAATGTAAAACTACAAACATCAAAGGCTGGGATTGGTGTGCGATGTCCTGTAAAGGAAATGCAACAAACTTTCTTGAGAATGTTAAGGAAGCTTTTATTAATGTATGTATTGTTTGTTTATCTTATGTATTTTTTTTTTTTAAATCTACAACACATTATTGTATCCGTTGTTTTCTACTTTCACCTCTAAAAGGATGGTTGTCATATTGTGCAGTGGTTTACAGCTAGGCTGTAATATATGTGCCTTTTGGTCCAGTTTATCCAGTTTCAGCTAATTCCTAATTAATTACCGTTTACGATTTGCTTCGGGGTGGTGCACTTGGTCTCTCCCCCCCCCCCCCTTTTCTCAGTAGACCCCAGAAACCATAATATAGTGTACCAACTGCCTTTTTAAGAGTGTACGCAGAAGAACCTGATGCTTATTTTATAGTGAAGCTTTAGTTTTATCATTTATAGCATTTCTGTTAAAATTCATGAATCATTTTAACATTGTATTGAAGGTGGTGTTGCTCAAGAGAGGGAAGTATTTTTGAGCTTGAAGCACGGTATTGAAGCCAAGAATTATGATGACGTAAGTATAATCTAAAAGGTAGTTTTTGTCCTCGTTAGAGTCAGGGCAAGGGAGAATAATGAGTGCAGTATGTTTATGCTCTGCGCTTAACTCTTTGAGTCCCAGGGGGTTTAGCATCAGAGGCCCAATGTGTAATCAAGAGAGGTGTAAAATCGGCGCATCTTGCGTTCATTGGGCCTCTAGGCGGGAACCTATGAATGTATGATGCGTTCCTTGGGATTCAAAGAGTTAAGAAATGAGTAAGTCATATTTTTAACCCTTTGCTGCTGGTGGTTGATTAGGTCTCATACATGGCAGAAAATAGAGAATAAAAAACTGCGTACATAAAAGATTTCAATGGCAGTAGTGCACGAGGCAGACCAAGAAGATTGTAGATAAACAATAGACAGACATACAGTCACTTTGAGTCACAAAATAGAAACGAAAGCCAGTCACAGAGATAAATGGAGGCAGGTGATATCTGCAGCAGAGAATCTCAAGCGCTGGCATGCTGAAGAAGAATGTCTTGCACATTTTTACCACATATTTCTAGGTGTCTGCTGCAGTTTGCTAGCCTGCTTGCTTCTTAGTACAGTTAATCTGCCATTCATTCATAATATGTACATCCTTATCCAGATGTGATTTATATGTCAGGTCATGACCTACAGAATACCAGTGGCAACCCACACACACAAACAAATAAGGCAGTGCTTCTAAAAAATAGATACCATGAAAAGATATCAGTCCAGACAAAAGGTAGAACTAATCTTCTTCTTCTTTTCTCCTGGAATGCCACGTGGCATCAGGGCATGAAGAGATCTCTGGAACAGGTTCTTCTGTTCGCTTCGTAGAAAGTACTTTTCGATGTCTCTGATATTTCTGCGGTCCATCTTCTACATTGTCGACCTCTGGCTCTGTTACCGCTGTATTTGTACAACATTGCTCTCTGTGGTGCCCTGTCTGATGCCAATCTTTTTACATGGCCAAACCATTTGATTTGTTATCTACCTATAGAGTATTGGTTCTGTGCCAACTCTCCTCGGGATATCATTGTTTCTAAGTCGTTCTTTCCTCGTTACACTTAGCCTAGTACATAAACCAAATAATATCTCAATTAAAAAAATAAAATAAATAACCATAGCCACCATGTCTACAACTGTACAGCTGCCACCACTACCAAAGCTGTGATATAAGTCACTGTCCAAGGACGTCATGTTTTCAAAAACAACTGGTCTGCTAGCATATCACTTCACTTAGTTGCTGCTCTTATACCCTTGGGGTGTAGAGGTTTCCCAGAGAGATCGCCAGACTTCTCTATCAGCAGTTTTCTTTTGATTGCATATCCCAATGACAATTAAGGGTTTAAGAGAATATGACTTTATTGTTTACAAACTTATTCATTGTCAAATATTTGCACTGTTTGTGTGGTCTTTAAATTTTAGATTGCAAAAGCAGAGAAGTTGAAGCCACTGGAAGTTGAGTTGAGAAGATTAGAAGATTTATCCAAATCCATTGTGGATGATTTCGCATACATGAGGAAACGTGAGGAGCAAATGAGAGATACTAATGGTGAGTGGAAACATGGGTACAGCTTTCTTAAATTATATATTTTTTTTTTTTAGATGATACTTTTTGTGGAGTCCTGAAGCATTTGACTGACTGACTGACTTTCTACCCCACTAGGACATCACACAAGCGATAAACACCCGATGACACAAGGTGCTACCATGCGGACGAGGATCGCCGTGAAGAGGTCCCAGAAACCGCGTTCAGACAATTGGCCATATTTATGGTCTGCCTATATTGCAGCCCCTGGCAAAAGCCAGGGTGGGGCTTCAAATGACAAACAATTGCGTCCTAAAAAGGACGAAACGCTTTACTGGATAGTTTATTATCCTGAAGCATTTAAGTACTTGGGTACCCTGATAATAGCAGATTGAAGATATATTTAAGAACTTAACTGTGGAATACCCCTAGCGAAGGCAGCATGAACTTAACTGTGGAATACCCCTAGCGAAGGCAGTATGAACTTAACTGTGGAATACCCCTAGCGAAGGCAGCATGAACTTAACTGTGGAATACCCCTAGCGAAGGCAGTATGAACTTAACTGTGGAATACCCCTAGCGAAGGCAGCATGAACTTAACTGGGATAGCTCTAGCAAAGGCAGCATTTGACAAAATATAGAATATTCTGTGCAGTCTTCCTTTGTCAACCGAGGTGAGAAAGAGAATTCCCAAGAGTGATGTAATCCTGTCCTGATATAGGGAAGTGAATGATGGACACCTGGCCGATTAGTGACAAATTATGTGGAAGTGGCGGTGATGTGGTTTTATAGACACATAATGAGAACACCCTGGACAGATAAAAAGAAAAATCAAGATATCTTAGAAGAAATTGACCAATGAAGAGAACTGATTGCGCACATCAGAAGGAGACAGTCTACATTCTTTGGCATGTCATGAGGAGAAAACTGGAGTACATCGTGAGGGTGGAAAAACTGGAGGAGAAAAGAGGCAGAGAGAGATCGAGAAGGAAGATGCTTTACAGTTTGACATTATGGCTTGGACATCTGTGTCAGAATTGATTAAAAATTACATGTGACAGAAGGTTATGGAGAGACTTGACTACCAACGCCAATGTTGATGAAATGATATATTCAGCATGCAAAATGTTCCTCTCTTGGAAATGCTGCAGAGCAGTATTTGGCCACACCCAGTAGGCCTGACAACTGAGCCATGTGGACACTTAAGGGACCTTGAGCTGACATCTCACTTTAAGTGCATGAAACAGAGATTGCTGAAAATGCTGCAAAGCAGTATGTGGCCACACAAGTAGGCTTGATAACCAAGGACCAAGTTAGATGCAGACTGTTTGAATGATGATAAACTTGAACATTTAATTGAACAAATAGCAGAAGCGTACTGAAACAACAGCAAGTCTTGGACTCTCTCACAACACCTGGAAGTGTTAAACTTGGGTGAACATGGTTTAATTCATCTTGTGTGGTTCTGGGGCTCATGGGGAAAAGGGGGGGGGGGGGGGGGTTGCAGATCCACTGTTCCTTAACAAGCATTGCATAGAAGACAAATTAAAAAAAGAAAAGAAAAAAAAGGTTTTCTGAAATGTTATTTGTTTTGACCTAAAGATGCAGATATCGCAGAATTTTAAATAAACTGCCCATGTCATGACAGAAATCGAACCTTATTGATACTAGCTTGAATAATTTAAATGTTTCCTATGATCAACAGAATCGACTCATTCTCGTGTGATGTACTTCAGTGTGTTCTCCATGCTGTGCCTTTTGGGACTAGCCACCTGGCAGGTCCTGTACCTGAGGCGATATTTCAAGGCCAAGAAACTCATTGAGTAGGCTGCAGGTCTGGAACTACTGAACAAACTGTCCAGGGTGTGTGTGTGTGTTTTAGGTGATATATATGTGTGCGTGTGTTGTCAGATTACATGTTGTAGCTGTTGTATTTGCTTCATAAGTTTTGATGAACTGTTAGATGTCATAACTGTGTCTTCTGTGGTGAATCTCTGTCTGTTGCTGACCATGAAAATTGAGAGTGGTTCCTATGTTTCATCTTCTTTTGCTTGGGAAGTAGAATGGAAGTGGTGGCAATGCACACAATTAGGAACTCAGTAGAATGTAGAATTTCGGCTCCGTTGGGATACTTAAAAAATGTACTCTTTTGGAAAGCTTAGGATGTAAACTGTTTCAGATGTGTGCTGTTTTAGATGTGTGCTGTTTCAGATGTGTGCAATTTTATGGGATTTTAAAACATGAACTGATTCATTTCAGTGACTGGGAATGTTCGGCTATTAATCCATGAGGCCCCCTTAAATTAAGTTGCTCTGAAACTGGCGCATTGTGAACATCAAGTTAGTTCCATGCTAGCATATCTGTATTGTTCTTTGTTAGGCGAGAAAGACTTTGTTGCAGTGTGTCTTAGAAACGGGATGCAATATGAATCAGAACTTGGATGCAGTCTGAATTAGGTTACTTTATTTGTATTCAAGACTCATACGTTACATTCATTTGTTTTTAATAATGCATTGACATGAGTAAAACATACATCTGTGGTCTTGTTGCAACCAGAGCATTTACACTGCATATTCTTCATCTACCGTCCTTCTTTCACTATCAGTAAGTTCACACTCAGTTGTTCAGATAGATTGGTATCTTGGCGGTCGCCGTGACGAAGTGGTCAAGCCATTTGCCCTGTGCTCTGAAGGTCTTGGGATCATTTCACAGCTGCGCTGCTCGGTTCACAGGTGAAATTTTTACTGAATTCACTGGGGATCAACACCGGAGCTACGGAATTCATGCTCTAGGCGTTCTCCTGGGAGAAACCGAGCCATATGGGATCAAACCCGGTGCAGTGAAGTCGATCCTCTCGACTTTAATCTTTAGACCGGTATCTTAGCCTTCTATCTCAGTTGTATTGAGTAAACATAGGTTTCATGTTCATGGAGTCCATTTCTGTAATCAGTTTTATATTCATTTCCCATAGTGATATAGCAGATGATATATATATATATATATATATATATATATATATATATATATATATATATATATATATATATATATATATATATATATATATATATATAACATTAATGAATGCACACTGAACATCTCAATATATATATCTATATATTGAGATGTTCAGTGTGCATTCATTAATGTTACATTCATGTCTGGTAGTATGTCGCAGCTGATTGACACCATGCCAGAGTCACCTAACTGGTTTTGCAGTTTTTTTTCTTCTTCCCAAATGCATTTTCAGGGCTTTTATTTGTCACTGTACAACATGCCAAAGGCACACTTCTGAATTCCTACTCTAAATAGGTAAGAATGAAGTATTACTTTTCTCGCAACTATACAATTTTTATTTGCCACTAAACCCTTTTGACCTAAGAAACACAAAATCTGGCACTTCTGATGTGTGCCACAGTCCCATAAATGTCACTTTTCGTGCTTTCTATGGAGGCTTTTTTTTAAATGAGGAACCCTGCTAACAGACCGGGAAAAGATACATAAAGTTAGATACACACTGTAATTTTTTTTAGAAATCTTGGACAGAAAACAGAACTTTGGCTGTTAACATTGCCATGTGTGTTGTTAGTTGTATTTTGTTGCATTATGTTAACTGTGTTGCCTGTTTGTACATGGTCATGGGTAGTTTTGTACATGGTGGATGTACACTTTGGATTTGATCACTTGTTTTTTTTTTTCCCCTCATATTTCTTATCATCCTTGGTAGCTATTGGTATTATATGAAGCCTCACCTGTTTATTTCTTGCATCTTCATGTTTACAGTCATGCATTATATTTATGTTTGGCCTTATGCTGGTGAAAAAATCTGCAAAACCCTGCCAGATTTCATCACCAATGTGAAAGAAAGCAGATTTACATGACCTAACAGCTGCTGAGAAGTTAGTCTTTTACCTTTGAGTTGACACAGTGCGTATTGGGTATGGGTTGACTCCGTAGTTTGAGAGGTACCAGCACTTATTGTGTGATGTGGTCAGTAGTATGTCAGCCGCCTTTAATTCCCAGAGCAGTCGGTGGAATCAAACCTTGGAGCTGATGTCATTGAGAATTTATTTCTGTACCTAGCGAGGTAACATAAATTAAAGTCCACATACATTAGTTGGTGTTAATAATTAACATACTTACACACCACATGTTTACAAAAAAAAAATGTGTATAATTTCCGCGTGTGGGTTCTGAGGCCCCATTTTTGGGGAAAATAAGAATAGACCCACTGCCTTTCTAACAAGAATGTCATAAAATTGGACTAATTAGGGTTGTTTCCTTTAAAGTCGGAGTGCATCCGCCCAAGAGGCAAGGAACCAGCAGTCTGCATATAAATAAGCCAGATGTGTAAAATTAATATACATGCAAACATTCTGAAACAAGAACAAAGCCCAGTAGTGGACGAACAAAGATATGTGATGTTTTGACCGTCTTATACTACAGACAGAAGTTACATTTACCCTTTGTATCTGGACTATTTTCAGAGAGAAATATTTTTTCAGATACAGATACATTCTGAGAAGAAAACAGGCATTAAAATGGGAAATAAATGGGTAAAGGAGGTGATGATACCCAAAGGAAACCCGAAGACAGACCTTGATGAAAGACGCCAAAGCTGCTGGACTAAATTCCATCCATGATATTGAACTGATTGCACAGGAAAGAAGGGAATGGAGGAAAATACTGCGAGCCTAATGTGCCATTTAATGGCACCACAAGATAGTAAATAAAATCTGGAATCTTAGTGTTACTACTTTGGTTCTGTAAAGTCCCTGTTGAACCATTTCAAACCTAAGTATTTCAACTGTTTGAGATACAAGGAGTTAAAGGAAACAGCTGCTTGGGACTAAAAGAGTTAATAACAAAGCTGATGGATGTGAGATTGAATAGTTTTCTAAAAACCACAACACATGAGGTAGTATATGAGACAAGGTTACAGGTGTTTCATATTGTGGGAGACAGAATATCAAACTAAATCTGTACCAATTTTCTTTAGGCTCTTTTTTTTCCCTGGTGGTATGCAGTATCAGATTCATTTATTGGGCATGATTTTTTTCACCTCTAGCGTAACAGTCACTTTTTGGTGAGTACCGGCACCTTTTGAAAGAGATTTTGTGGCAAGTATTGACACTTTTTGTTCTAGGAAAAAAAAGTGCTGGTTGTCATCGATTGTCACCTTTATGATAGTAAAATAATGTCAAGAATGGTGAATAAATATCATTTTATTTTCAGTTATGATTAAATTGTAGTGATGTTTTATTTTATTATGCAGGGTTTTGTTTCTATGTAGCCATGTTTTATTTTTATTTAAAACATTTCATTTTGGTTTAGAGAAATAAAGAACAAATATACTTATAATGTCTTCTTCTCCTTGTATTTTCTGTTAGAAGTGAATGAGATGGAAAGCAGAAACCACATTGCAAAAAAAAAAAAAGTAACGATTACATACCAAAGCATGGCAGTATAAACAGGCTTGGCAGAAATGCTCAGACCAAAGCATGGCAGTATAAACAGGCTTGGCAGAAATGCTTAGACCAAAGCATAACAGTATAAACAGGCAGAAATGCTTAGACCAAAGCATAACAGTATAAACAGGAAGAAATGCTTAGACCAAAGCATAACAGTATAAACAGGCAGAAATGCTTAGACCAAAGCATAACAGTATAAACAGGCAGAAATGCTCAGACCAAAGCATGGCAGTATAAACAGGCAAAAATGCTTAGACCAAAGCATGGCAGTATAAACAGGCAGAAATGCTTAGACCAAAGCATAACAGTATAAACAGGCAGAAATGCTCAGACCAAAGCATGGCAGTATAAACAGGCTTGGCAGAAATGCTTAGACCAAAGCATAACAGTATAAACAGGCTTGGCAGAAATGCTTAGACCAAAGCATAACAGTATAAACAGGCAGAAATGCTTAGACCAAAGCATAACAGTATAAACAGGCAGAAATGCTCAGACCAAAGCATGGCAGTATAAACAGGCAAAAATGCTTAGACCAAAGCATGGCAGTATAAACAGGCAGAAATGCTTAGACCAAAGCATAACAGTATAAACAGGCAGAAATGCTCAGACCAAAGCATGGCAGTATAAACAGGCAGAAATGCTTAGACCAAAGCATAACAGTATAAACAGGCAGAAATGCTTAGACCAAAGCATAACAGTATAAACAGGCAGAAATGCTCAGACCAAAGCATGGCAGTATAAACAGGCAGAAATGCTCAGACCAAAGCATGGCAGTATAAACAGGCAGAAATGCTCAGACCAAAGCATAACAGTATAAACAGGCAGAAATGCTTAGACCAAAGAAGCATGGCAGTATAAACAGGCAGAAATGCTTAGACCAAAGCATAACAGTATAAACAGGCAGAAATGCTTAGACCAAAGCATAACAGTATAAACAGGCAGAAATGCTCAGACCAAAGCATGGCAGTATAAACAGGCAGAAATGCTCAGACCAAAGCATGGCAGTATAAACAGGCAGAAATGCTTAAACCAAAGCATGGCAGTATAAACAGGCAGAAATGCTTAGACCAAAGCATAACAGTATAAACAGGCAGAAATGCTCAGACCAAAGCATGGCAGTATAAACAGGCAGAAATGCTCAGACCAAAGCATGGCAGTATAAACAGGCAGAAATGCTCAGACCAAAGCATGGCAGTATAAACAGGCAGAAATGCTCAGACCAAAGCATGGCAGTATAAACAGGCAGAAATACTCAGACCAAAGAAGCATGGCAGTATAAACAGGCAGAAATGCTTAGACCAAAGCATAACAGTATAAACAGGCAGAAATGCTTAGACCAAAGCATAACAGTATAAACAGGCAGAAATGCTCAGACCAAAGCATGGCATTATAAACAGGCTTGGCAGAAATGCTCAGACCAAAATTGTCGGACTAAGAGGGACACTGTAAACTCAGAGCCCACTTACACTGAATGGGTCTTGCCAACTCTGCTGCCTGTGGTTGTGGCTCACCAAAGCAAACTCCCTAGAATCTTCCAGGAATGCACAGACTTTGCCAGGCAGAGAGAAGAAATCTGGCCCACAGGAGCAGCCTTACAAGATAAACTATGGGGCACCGTGAAGGCCTGGAGCTCACCATCCTTTTTTTGTTTTTTAACCAATATTGGCATAACAAACACTGATCATGGAAGAAGAAAAACACATTGCAAAATAAATATAGAATAATGATTTTCTGAACTACAGAGAAGATGAGGGTGACTAATTAGAATATTATGGTATGTTTTCATTTTAGCTCTTTTTACAGTATCTGAATGACACATCTCATTACATACAATTTTCTTGACAATTCACATTCTCTTTTGATACAAATAACTACAAATACAGTATACTTTAATATTTATATATTACTCCCTCACAGTACACTTTAGTATTCAGATTGCTTTTAACTGAACAGATCCACATAATTTAACAAATATAAAAGCGGGAGCTGCGTTAGCTCAGTCGATAAGAGGCTGGCTTTCAAATCCAGCTGCGACTCGCTGCAGCCCACGGTCGGTGTTCGGTGTTTTACCCAGCCTCTAGGAAATGGGTACCAGAGTTGATACTCTGGGGTAAATGGAGGAACGTCGCGGTAGCTACAGAGTTACGTGCGAACGGCGACACAGGCGGACAATTCTTATCAGCTGTCCGTACTGGTGGCAGAGCACTTATGGTTTATAACTGTGTGCAGTGACGCTGGTTCACATCTCCCGACTTTACCTTTACTTTTATATTATTAAGGTTGACCATGACTAATAGTCTGGAATCAATGTCAAGATTTCTACCTAAACATTCTTAATCAGGCCTATACCTACCCAGTCTTGTTGCGTGGCATGGAGGTGTGTCCGCACACAAAATGAAACATGCTGCAGGAGATCGCAGATTGTGGAGAGGCATGATCGCCCACACCAGTTGGCAAGGCACCTGATGATGATGATGATGATACCTACCCAAAAAATTATTGATATCCGCCCGTAGGAGTCGACCCTGACTTATATACCACAATTTACTTGCATCAGAAAATGACAATCTACACTTTTTTGACATGTGTCAAGAGTAAGGAAAAACTCAAGTATATCATGACAACTAGAAAGTAGGAGGGTAAAAGATGCACAGGAGAATGAAGACTGTAGACACTGCATAGTATGACATCATGGTATGGAAGAACATCTGTGTCAGAAATGATGACAGCACACAAGAAAGAAATCTCTGGTTAGATCAGATTATAAGAACTAAGAAGAAGTCATCCAATTAAATTTATGTCATTAAATGCCTATGCTACTACTGTGTATATATAAGTATATGATGTCTTAACCGTTTGCACCCTGGAAACAGGCTGTCAACCCGCGAATCCTCACACACTAAAATCCTTTGAAAAATATTTTACACTGATAAATGTCAAACAAAACTGATTTATGTATATTTAAAAATTTTTTAATTTGGATACATAAAGAGAGTAATAAACAAGAACAAAGTAAAGCACTGAATAGACTATATTCCCTGGTGCTGAAAACAAATGTTTCTGGTGATTCATACTGTGGCCCCAGGAATTCCAGAACTAAGTCTACAGGCAAATTATGACGTCCAGCTGTCTTTAAAAAGTCATTTTATTCACAAGACTCCCCCACCCAATGCTTTTTTTGAAAGTAAATATAATAATATTCTAACTTCTTAAACATTCGGCAGGTGCAAACACAACCAGTGGCAATAAATAGACTTCCCATAGATAAGCCTTTGCTGAAATGCTGTGTAAGCAGCATTTACCAAATTGAGTCACCTCAGAAATGACATACTTTGATGCGAATGTCTTGCGTTCCGTCCCCATATTGGCGACCAAGGGGTCTCTGTAGCGAAGTGGTCGAGCCATTTGCTTCACTCTCTGAAGGTCAAGAATATGTTTCTGCACAGTTCAGTTCACAGGTGCAATTTTAAAGGAGACCCCTGGGGATCATTGCCGGAGCTACAGAGTTCATGCTCTGTGTGGTGCTCTTGGCAGGCAGGTAGCCGCTCCATAGACAGACCAAGCCATCTGGGATAAAACCTGGTGCAATGAAGTCGATCCTCTCAACTTTAACCTTTAACTTTAGTCACCTACAGAAATGCTGGGTCCAGGGCGAAAGGATAGAGAACATTTTTAAACTGACAAAACATATAAATGTACTTCAGTCTTGAATATTGGTAATTAAAGTGACAAGTGAGATCATAAATAACAACAGTCAGAAATACGTAATCATGATCATGAAAACCTCATGCTGCCGGACAATAACACATGCGAGTCAATCCAACAAACAAACAAAAAAAGACCTCAAAGGAAGTTTAAAAAAAAAAGAAAAGGTCTCTTTTGCAAACCTTTAGGCATATTGGAAATATAGGGCTAGACCTAAATTTGTATAGACCAATCAGCACTTGGGTGGTGATGTGGTCAGCATCATGCAGGCCGCCTTTATTTCCCAGGACTGCACCTGGTACCCACTCAAGGCTGGGTTGACCTGGGAGACAAGGTCATTTCTTTAAAAAAAAAAAAAAAGCCATGACCTTCCGATCCACAGACAGGCGTCCAACCGCCAACGCCATGTCGACTCCCACCTCAAAGGAACAGGTTAATTTAAATCAACATATAATTCCTTTCAACTGAAATAAACAAATCACAATCTCTTATTACACTGTACCTCACAACGTAAGTGTACAAATAACAATGATTTGTATTTTAGTTGAAGAGATTCACTTTTCTGCTTTGGTATAACTTGAAACGAGCCGCTGTGGTGTAGTGGCTAGATGTTCACCTACAGATCCCAAAGGTCGCAGGTAGCCAGACCTTTCTCAGAAGTGACTTTGGCTCCTCTACCCCCTCAACACAAATTCAGAACATGACCACTATGCTGGCAGAAGCATTCTAGTGATTGCATCTCCATGGTTTCATTCCCCGTCCAAAAACTCCAGTGAAAAGTTATGGTTGTTTATCCACTTCTGCTGCCTTTTTCCAGAACTTAAGTTTTGTATGCACAACTGTTTTACAGATCTGGCTTATCTGTATGCAGACTGTTGGCTCCTTGACTCTCCGGCAGATGCACTGTGACTTCTGATGAAAGACCCCTAATTAGTCAGCTTTTACGCAGGCTTGTTGGGAAGAGGGGGGCAGAGGGTCTGTTGTTTCCCCCCCCCCCCCCAAAAAAAAATAAAGTCCCAGAAGCCATACAGGAAGCTAGACCTACATCTTTATAGACCAATCAGCAACTCAGTTGACATGATCAAAACCATGCTGGCCACCTTTATTTCCCAGGACAATACCTGGTACCTATTTCTGGCAGGGTTGACTTGGGAGACAAGTCAAATTTGAGGCAAAATCAGCCTTTGTGTGTCTTTTTGTCCCTGTGGAAATAAGGGCATGAAACTGACCACATCAACCATCAAGAACCAGTTCTATATAAAAAAACAAAAACAATATGGGGATAGCACCATGTATCCAATGTACTCCAGAATGTAGAGAAAGGTAATTTTCCTTATTTTCTGACTATTATAAAACAAAAAGGGCTGTGGTTAAATCCGACACAATGATTATTTCATTAATTGAAATTTTATGAAAAAATAATTATATGAAATACAATTTTATGAAAAAATGATTATTTTATAAAACGTAATTTTATTAAAAAAGGAACAGATATTTATACTCAAATTATAAGTTAAGTACTGTTTGATACAATAACGTGTCTATCAAAATATTGCTATTTTAAAATGAGCTAGAGATAGTGTTTAACAATATAATAATGATGTGTTTTCAATACAGTTTAAGGTTTGGTTATTTAATTCAGTAAATTTAAGGTTTGGTCATTTTTTCCAGCTGGGACTGCCCCAGAGCAGAAATCAAACATTTACTGATACTCTCATAGCCAGCTTTCACTGCCAAATCATGTGCTGTTTCACCTTTCTCATTTTTCATATTCTGGTCAGCTCCTGCCCTATATCAAAGAAACAATACAAAATAATGTCACACAATTTCCTGTTTGGTACTTGTCACAATTTTATCCGCATGTCTCACATCTCACTGGGGTGCAAGATTTCCTGTCAGCTCTCATTCAAGGACGTGGCTGTTCCCACTGGCTGCTGTATGTTCTACGGTTGCCAGCATATGCCCGTTTCTTCCCCTGTTCCACCGTCTCTACAAATGTGTGGAAAACTGATCCAGGCCCAACGCGTTAACATTGCCTAGATCTCTTTCCTGGCATGCGACACTAAGTGACAGGGTGTTTTTGTGTGTGACATTTTGGTTGTTTTGTCAGTCTGTGTGCATGGTCGAGTGTTATGACAGTTTAAGGAAATTCATCTTGTACTTCAAGTCACCAAGTAAGGCTGCAGTGGATAGTGATGAAGAGCTAAATCAGAAGACACACAGTGCCGCCGGGCACTAACAACAAGGTGGAAAACTAAATGTGCTGGTGGCCGCTGACAACGCGGAATACAGAACACTTACAGCTTTGAAAAGAACAAAATGTTAGTTGTACCCCCTGTTTTCTGAAAGCCAATCTGGAGGAAGAGAGCATGTAGTAAAAAAGTAAAAGTAAAGGACCCTTTTCCACACCTTTAGGCGTATAGGGCATACAGGGCTAGACTTATATATTTATAGACCAATCGGCACAAGATGGGTGATGTGGTCAGCATCATGCTGGCTGCCTTTACTTTCCGGGACTGCACCCGGTACCCACTCAAGGCTGGGTCAACCTGGGAGCCAAGGTCATTTTTTGAAAAAAGTCCGGCTCCACCAGGGAGCAAACCCACGACCTTCCTATCCGCGACGAGCATCTAGCTGCTCGGCCACGGCAACTCCCCAGAGCATGTAGTAAAAACGACTAATTAACGGCCTGCTGAAATTGCTGAACCCGAATGTGTTGATATTGCAGCCTAGCTGTAAACCACAAAACAAATTGCCAGTCTACTTTTTAAGGGCAAATGTAGAAGAGGTCACTGAGTTTCTGATAACGACAATGAGTTTTCAAATATTGTCCTAGGGCAAATAAAGGACAGTTTGCAGGGACAAAGAAGAACTAGTTTGCTAGGACAAACACAGACACAATGTGTCCAGAACCTTACTGTAATAAAGGGACAAACAAAGAAACAGTTTGCTAGGACAAACATAGACACAATGTGCCCGGAACCTTACTGTAAAAAAAGGGACAAACAAAGAAACAGTTTGCTAGGACAAACACAGATACAATGTGCCCAGAGCCTTACTGTAAAAAAGGGGACAAACAAAGAAACAGTTTGCTAGGACAAACATAGACACAATGTGCCCGGAACCTTACTGTAATAAAAAGACAAACAAAGAAACAGTTTGCTAGGACAAACATAGACACAATGTGCCCAGAACCTTACTGTAATAAAGCTTCAACAACTTTCACGCCAGATGGTCCCAGACTGACAGCCTCATGAAGGGCTGTGTTTCCCTTTCTGTAGACAGAGATTTATGATAAATGTCAGTTTAATACTACACTCTCAGGGAAAGTGATTTCGAATGCTTAACAGGAGCCGCAATAGTTAATATCATCGGCTATGATGTCAGTGGCTGAAGTTCAATCTTCAACTGATAAATTTTTTTTCAGACCAGCCATTAGGCATAAGATGCTAGATCCATATTTTTATAAAACTGATCAGCACTCGGTGGGTGATGTGGTCAACATAATGTCGGCTACCTTTTCTTCCCAGGACATTACCTGGTGCCCATTTTAGGCTGGGAACTAATGTCAATGTCCACATCTGTACAGATTCAAACTAAAGACTTTTGGGCCAGTAGCAGAGAGTCCAGCCACTACGTTACCTTAGTTCCCCTTATAATTAATGCTATGCTGTCTCCACAACATCTCTGGGCTACAATTGACCACAGTTGTCTTTAGGAATGTTACGTGATGAGGTCCCAGTTTGTAGAGCCATTATCTGTAAACCACCAGAACAGTTTTTGTTTAACTGTCCAAAGAGAGAAACAAACCCTAGTAATTGAGGATCATGAAACAGTGAACTTTAACCTCTAAGCCATTGAGCCACACTGACTGACGTTCAACCCCACCAGGAGGCACACTGAGTGATAAACAGCACTGAAACAAAGTGCCACCATTCAGATAAAGATCACCCAGAGACAGGTCCCACAAACACCGTTCAACCCATAGGTTCGGTTATATTAGGGCTTTGAAACAACACATAATTGCATTTAACACTGGATGCAGATTTTACATGAGTGGTAGAAGCCACACCTATAAAAATCTAACATTTCACACATCAATAGCAATATCAGCCAATGGGACTATATTTTAACCCTTTGCCCTGATGACCTAGAAAAAACAAAACAAAGCCAAGCTCCTGTAATGTCATTTTTTCACATATTCTTTGAAAAAAAAAATCCTTTGAAAAACAACTATATTACACATGCCAGACAGACACACATACAAAATTGCAAAAAATCGATTTTTAATCCAAAACACAAACACTAAACTGAGTAAGGGAAGTAATTAAAAAAAATATCAATGCAACATAGAATCAAGTGGCCTACATCTCTTGAGAACTGTAAACTAATTATAGTATGACACTTACTTGACCCTATAACGAATGGGGAAATTATGACACAGAATTTCTATACATAAAGCCATTTGATTAAAAAAAAAAGGAACTGGTTCCATTTTTTTTAAGTAAATGTAATCATCCACTGTTAAAAGCATGTTTACACAGCCATAAATATTAGCTAGACGTCTCGTAAATATGTCTCTAGAGTGAGTTGGGAAATAAGCATGTACGGAGAAATGGTACAAACAGCAAATATTCATTGTGGCATCTCTGATCGAAAGAGTTAACCCGCGGTATATTAAGCAGAGGTTTTTGAATGTGTTTCAACTTAATGATCTTTATTTTTATGGCGGAGGGTTTATTTTGAAAATTTGATCTTGTGGTTTTTATGCAGTGGTACAAGAGTCACACTGTGGAAGAGACTGGGGTTTCATCACATAATTTTCTTAAAGGTAGAAAGGCTGCAGTGAGTTCGCTGTAGCCAACTTTCATCCTGAAGAGAACACATATTACCCCCCCCCCCCCCCCCCCCCCCCCCCCCCCCCCCCCCCCCCCCCCCCCCCCCCCCCCCCCCCCCAATACCAGCAGCTTGCATAAACTCAGTTACTATGTAGTTGCTAGCAATACAGGAGTACCTAGGCTTCATTTTTGGTCCAGTACTTTAAATTTTCATCATATGTTGTGTTGTACCACATTATAGTCTGTATGCGTATTGCAGGGCCTCATTAAGGGGGTCCACAAAAAAAAACACATGAGAAAAAAAGAAAAGACCTACTGTCCCATATCAAACATGCTGTGAGGTTTGAGGTTTTGAACAATGGCACACAGGTAGTAACCCATAAGTGTTTCGTTCTTCTAACTCAAGTCTGTGTCTGAAGAAGCTCAGCACAGTGCATGGGCTCTGTAGCACCAGTGAGGATCCTGAAATACTTTGGGTAGATTTTTAACTCAAAAATTTGCCCGGGCAGCCCCTGTTGATACCCCACTGAGTGGAAAATAGACCCACAGTTCCGCAACAAGCATTCGTAAAAGGCGACTAATTAGGAGTCTGCTAAAACTGAATATGTTGGGTCAAAAGGAATAGATATCACAGCCTAGCTGTAAACCATAAGATAGTGTGCAAACTACCCTTTTAAGGGTGAAAGGAAGAAGGAATAGAAAACAATCTTAAATTTGTGTTCTGGCCTATCCTTACCAGATGATTTGTATTGTCTCTGATTACATATCTGCAAACATTCTTACATAGAGTTAGGTCCCTTGGCATTGACGTCTGCGCCACCACGAACTAGCACATCGATTGCATCAACATGGCGGTTCTTGACAGCTACAATCAGTGGACTCATCTCGCTTTTATTCAAGCAATTTGGATCTGCCCCCTGTATAATACATTAAACATATTAAGTCTCAGTTATGTAACAGTCTCATTAATACATTTATACTATTAAATGTGGACAGTGACTACACACATTTATTACTGGGCTCACAAGGGGAAGCAATTTTCGTCCTTATTAGGACGAAATTTTTTGTCATTTGAAGCCCTACCCTGGCTTTTGCCAGGGGCCGCAATATAGGCAGGCCATACATATGGCCAAATGTCTGAACGCGGTTTCTGGGACCTCTCCACGGCGATCCTCATCCGCATGGTGGCGCTTTGTGTCATCGGGTGTTTATCGCTTGTGTGATGTCCTGGTGGGGTAGAAAGTCAGTCAGTCAGTCAGGGGAAGCAACAACACCTATAATTAATTTCATTGAAAAACAAAGACTGATATGGTCAGGCCATTTAATTAGACCAAATTAAATTATACTAGCAATAAGAGCGTGCAAAACAAACATAGAAACATCAAGATAGAGGGGATGAACAAGAAAAAGATTGACTAAAGGAGTTGGGGTAAAAAGTGCAGATACTGCAGCCTAGCTGCAAACTACAACACAACATACCAGCTGCCCTTTTAAGGGTGAAGATAGAAAAGGTATATAGTCGGTGTGAAGAGCTACATGCTTGCATCTCGCACTGTTTTGTTTGTTGGAGTTTTCTCCACTTTGTAGAGACATTCTTCAGTAGTTACGGGGTGTTTTTTTTTCTTTTCTTTCAGAATAGCAAATTTCTAATGTGTCCTTTCAGAGTAACAGTCATTTCTCACGATGACCACCATCTGAAGATTGTTGGAATGTGTCTGTTTATTGTCTATAGGGATGGTACCAAGTATTGACCAGTCCCCAGTTTCACAAGAGGTGAAAATGCTTCTGCTGACTGACCTAAGCACGACCAGTTAGGAATGCATTTAATATATGGTTAATTTTTTTTTCTCCAATTGTCTGCCAAAAACTACATCCTTCCATACTGCTTTCACTAATGATAAGATATAAAGAAAAAATCTGATGGCTAATAGTACCAGTTCTATGTTGATTAACAAGTCTTCTGGCGTGCGTCTCATTTTTTGCTATGCCAATCTTAATTCCCAAGTCTGCCATTCTGGCGAGTGATGTGGATTCACTGCCACCAAAGTCCTCTATCCTTCCCATTTCTCTGAGGCCATTAATAATATCAGCATAATCCATAGGCTGACCGTCGGCAGTGATAGCGGATTCAGGCAACCTCGAGCTCTTTTATTTCCATCGATGCCTGTGTGTCCCGGAACAAAAATAAAGGTGACTCCACGCACATTGGACTTCTGTAATGATTCAAGCCATTGTCCTCGCACCGAACCTGCCTGAACCCTCCGAATCATACTCATTGAATCACTGAGTATACATACACAGGTGTAGTTTTGTGTTTTGAGCCAAGCGAATGCTTGCGTTACTGCCATCACCTCCATCGTCATGCTGCTGGAATATACAAGGAATATATGTAGATCAATGAAGAAAAATAGCAAACTTGCAGTACTGAAGAAAACAATCAATGACAGTCAAGCCTCAACTAACCTCATCCAGCAACTGTTGAACTTCATCAACAGGAACATCGGCCTTTGACTCCAGCAACTTGAACAACTTTGCATTGATTGGCTGCAAGTATAAATGTTAAAATCAATGACAAACTGCATTATATAAGGATCAAATATTTTTTCATCTTCCTCATTCAAGAGAAGAGTATCACAAGTTCAAATTATGAACTGCCACATCTGCTTAAATCGGATGTCATAATCTCTAAGCCCCTCCGACCTTCATAAGTTAGGAAAGACAAAAATTCTCTGCACAGAAAACCATGTAAACACAGGAAACGTAAATACCAGACTGCACAATTTATTTGCTGGCATATTTCTGTTTTTAAATAATTTGGAGACACAGACAAAAACCATAGCACAATTTATTATCAGCCATGTTTCGCTGTATGTGGGCAAGTGCATTATTACAGAAGTATACCAACCAATAATGAACAACAAAAACTGAATTATTCGACTGAAATACACATCCTTTGGTCTCTCTTGATTTGCTGTTCGTCTAAGCGCCAGAAATTCATGATGAACATGTGACTCACAAGGGTAAGTGGTACACCTGTGCATCTGACAAGATACAGTGAAATATACCTGGAAATAAATTGTGCAATGTATAGTTTGGTGTTTGCATTATAAAAATTCACTATCGGAAACTTACTTAGTACTTAGTCGCTCCTTTTCTACCTTGGGGTGTAGAGGTTTGCCAGAGAGATCGCCAGACGTCTCTATCAGCAGTTTTCTTTCTGGCTTTGTTCTATTCCAGTCCTCTGTCAGTTGGGGACTGTCGGATATTGTCTTCCCAGCAGACCCTGGGTCGTCCGGGAGGTCTGGTTCCCTGGTTCTTAGCCTCCCATGCCTGCCACGGTGGCCGATTTTCTCCCATTCTGCATACATGTCCAAACCATCGTAACTGTGACTGATCCACCCGGGTTTGTAAGGAATTGGTATCAAGATCTTGACGTATTGTCTGATTGCGGACTTTGTCCCTTCTTGTCACTTAGACCATCTTTCTCAGATATCTGATTTCTGAGGCCTGCAGCTGGCTTCTGCACTACCGGAAACACTCTATTAAACATTCATCTGTGTTTGATAAATGCATAATACAGAAATAATAAAGGGACACAAACAAATGAATCTATGAGTGACAGTGTATTTATGCTAAATAAATTCATTTGTACACTTCATTTTACTGACTTCTACAGAATATCAGACAAACATTGTTAAATACCCGTTTTCTTATGCGTTTTCTCGACTCTGCTCTTAGGTGAAAGGGGAAATAACTCTTTGATGACTCATATTTTATTTTTATAAAATATACACACATGGTTTCTGGTAAAAAAAAATGCAGAGGGGTAGAGTGAATGAATGAATCAAGAATTCACATCACTGCACTTGAGATATTCTCATACATGCTCCATCCCTTTCCTCAGCAGCCAAAGAGGAGTTCTTATACTGATGGTGCCAGTCACAACCTGATTAAACGCTTGTCTAATTTTTCTGCTGGAGGCAGAAACAATTTTCAGACCTCTGCTGACTTCTAGCTGAATCATTCTCTCCAGATGTGGGTTCTCTGTCCTAAGTACTAATATCTTGCCATCCCTTTGTGGGATGCAATTTTTCATTATTTGAAGCCCTTCTCTGGCTCTTGCCAGGGGCCGCAATATAGCCTGGCCATAAATATGGCTGAACACGGTTTCTGGGACCTCTCCACGGGTGATCCTCATCCACATGGTTGCGCTTTGTGTCATCGGGTGTTAATCGCTTGTGTGATGTCCTGGTGGGGTAGAAGAAGATAGATTCTCTGTCCTGTTGTACTGTCCCTCTGGTACTGGTTTAGGACTTCAATGTATACAGTAGTAAATGGATATCCCACAGCTTTGTCTCTGGTCCCCCATATTTTAAAATCATCATCAACATGTGCCATGTGACTATATATGGGTGATCATTGTGTGCCATCTCACACAAACGCCAGTTTGGTTTCACATCTGTGTTCTTGACTAGATTATGCCAAATGGTCAAGCCATGTAGGGATCAATATTTCCCTATGTTATATTTTTAGTCAAAATATTTTGTGGACCCATCAAAGATGCAGACAGCAGGGAATGGAGAGTGAGAGCAGAAAATAAAATTCATGAACTGTTTAAATCATCACTGATCACTGGCCTCATGAGGGCTAATAGATTGAAATGGCTGGGGTATATTGAGAGAATGTCAGATGACAGAAAGACAAAAACGTGTACAAAAGGAAAGTGAATGGCTGTAGACCATGAGGCAGGCCAAGATGACGGTGAAAAGATAATACTTAAACTGACCTAACACCTCGAGTTGCCAAGTGGAAAGAGAGAACTAATCACAGAGACGAACAGAGCCAGGTGATATCTGTAGCAATGAATGTCAAGGGCTCGGAATGCTAAAGAGGAACATATTTATAATTATCAAGATCTTTCCGTTAATTTCTGAAGTCAGAGAGAACAGACTGCATAGATCTGAAAATGGATGCACGTGCAAAACTCAAGTCCTGGAACACAGCTAAAGTTCAGAAATATTCAAACAACCAGGAATTGTTGCCAGTGTTCACAGATGGTAAATGTAGTTGAAATTGAAGGATACTGACAATATTTGAAAAAAAAAAACATTTTGAAAATTCATACCGACAATTTTGGACTCTTATTCTTTGGTTTTGGCTTTGGTTTTCTCACTTTCCTAACTCCTGCAGACCTTGAGGTGACAGTTTCTTCATCTTCACTCTCTGGTGGAAAATGAATAAACATGTGAATGTTTTTTCTTGGCTGACACCCAAGAGAATTTCCAACTGAAAAAAATATATCTGCAAAAATAATATTAATACAATGTGTAATTCTTCTTCTTATTTTTTGTTTCTGTGCTCACTAGCTGTAAACTCAGGCAGAAAGTTCCAGTTTTTGTCCACTTCCGGACTTTAGTCTTTTTCCAGAACTTTAGCTTTGCATGCACATTAATTTTATAAATCTAGCTTATTTGTTGACAGACTGTTGGTTCATTTCCTCCCAAGCAAATGCAGTCTTGACTTTGAAAGAAACCCCAAATTAATCGACTCCTACAACATGCTTGTTAGGGAGGCAGTGGGTCAATTCTCCGCCCACTTTGGAATGAGACCCTGGAACCCATACTGAAAGTGTAATTCTACATACACACATTTGTTGTTGTTGTTGTTATCAATCCAGCGGCGCATGAGCTTTCGCCCTTTGGCCCAATGCCATGTAGTGGAATTTACATGTTTTCACAAATTGTTCCTTTCCTCCATACAAGGTGTTCCACCTGTCTGGTCTCGGAGGGAGTAGCATTCTTCTAGTCTCATTAAGTTTTTGGCACTCAAAGAGATGATGGTCAACAGTTTTGTACGGGTAGTTATATAGCTGGCACTCTGGAGACTGTTGTGGCTGTATTCTGTTTAGGTGTCCATTGAGTGGAGTATGTTGTGTTCTGAGTCTGAAGATGGTGGCCTGGTCACTTCTTGTTAAATGGTTAATGCTGTCATTAGGATCAGGGCTAGCCATGTGTCTATAAACTTCTCTTCCAGTATCTCCCATGGCCCATCTGTTCAGCCAAGTCTCTTTGTTTATAGCTTTTATAAGTGTTTTTGCTGTCTGTAGGGTTGTCGCTGTAGGTGGTTGTTCTTGTGTTGCTCCTTTCTTTGTTAGTCTGTCAGCTCTGTCATTACCTGGTGTGCCGGAGTGGCCTGGAATCCACTGCATCACTATTCTGATATTGTATGAGGTAATAAGCTGATCAGCATCTAGAATTATCTTAGCTATGTCAATTCTGCAGCGTTCACTGCCATCCAGAGCTTGAAGAGTAGACACTGAATCGGTGAAGATGACAATATTTTGGGCCTTTGAAGGATAAACATCCATTACAGTCTTTAGGTGGTATACTGCAGTTTCCAGTGTGATTATTTCAGCTTTATAATTTGAGCAGAATTCCCCGCATGCATCAAATATCTCTTCAATAGATCCATCAAGGTAACCTATGTAGATTCCGTAACCTGCTTTAATAGTGGCTTTGAATGCAGATCCATCAGTATAAACATGAATCCATTCTTCGGGGTAAGAATCAATGGTCTTTAGTGATGAGTTCATAACATACACACATTTAGAACCTCTCCCTGTGAAGCAAGAGTTCATGCACTGCGCTGATATTCTCTTTGTGTGATTTGTAAAAGAAGACTGTAACACAGAAGATGATATCCATAAACACAGAAAGTTATTACTAACAGGCCACACTGCAGTATGTCGGCAGTGTGTCGTGAACAACCTCCAAACTGTACAAAACCTGGCCCAACCCAGACCGTCAACATCCCATATTCTGTAATATTCTGATGTGGGTAGATTTCTTTTTTCTGTTTAGTATTTGTCATGAACCAGTTTTTGAATTTCTGATTTTGCAGTGGCCGCTGGCCAGTATGTTAGGTTGCAATAAGGTTATGACAAACAAACTAGATAAGATTAGGCCAAGGTTGGTCATGTGTAATCCACAAGTTTTCAGTATTTCAGTGTCAACAGATGCCAACCCAATATCCACAGAGAATCTTCAACAAATAAGAAAATACTTCATTTTTTTTTCTATTTACCTTCATCTTCTGAGTACATCTGATTATCCTGTTGAGAGTGGGTGTTCAAGTAACTTTCCGACTTGGATAATCCGTGCTGTTTTCCTGCCAGAGAGTCTTTACTATTTCGTAGAGCAAATGTCAAGGTCAAACTCAGTTCATATTCATCTTGTCTGATTGTGCTAGACAGCATCTGCACGGTGAGAAACAATGACTGACTTGAAGTAATACATAAGCATAAATATCCAATACTGACATGGAAAGAAATTCTCCATATATCCCAAATATAATCAGATTTGTTTAACAGGATTCCGTTGTTTAACTATTACTACTACTAAATGACTGACTTTATGCTCTTTGTAAAATCCAGTCAAAGATTCACTCAATTATTTACATAAAAAATGTAGCAATAAAATAAAACTATGATAATTATTCGTCTTCTTTGGCTGATGATGCCTGTTCTGTACTTTTTAATAAAACATCGTTCTCTTAGTGAAATGTTCATTTCTTGCAACTCCTGGCTTCATTTCCATTAGTCCAGACAGGGTTACGGAGTCATGAGCTTTGCTGTATTTGTTTTTGCAATAAGTGCTACGCATTGTATTGACATTGTCTCTTCTGTGCAGTACAGGATCAGCAACCATAGTGTCTGCAAGATAATCTGCACGTTAAATGCCTCAAATATCTGCATGACCCAGCACAAAGATAAAGGACAGGTCAGCCATTTGCAAAGTGCTAAGTGACCCAATCCATTCTTGTATGATATTAATTTGAGGAAAGATAGAAATTCAAGTATTTTCAGGTGCAAGGATCAGATGACAGAAGAGGACAAGCAAACTATGCACTTCATAAAATAAAGAACATCTTTTCAACAAGTTCTTGCCATTGAAAGTTTGCCAATATAACATGGAAGAACATATGTAAAAGAAATGACTAGTGAATTGAAACAATGCTGCATGGAATAATAAAAGAATAAAGAAACAGAATCAAGAAATAGAATAAAGAAACAGCTACATACCTTTCCGGGGAGTCGCCGTGGCTGAGCGGCTAGACGCTCACTGCGGATCGGAAGGTCGTGGGTTCGCTCCCTGGCAGAGCCAAACTTATTTAAAAAATGACCTTGGCTCCCAGGTCGACCCAGCCTTGAGTGGGTACTAGGTGCAGTCCCGGGAAAGTAAAGGCGGCCGGCGTGATGCTGACCACATCACCCATCTTGTGCCGATTGGTCTATAAAAATATAGGTCTAGCCCTATATGCCCTATACGCCTCAAGGCGTGGAAAAAGGGTCCTTAACATACCTTTCCCATTCTCGGCTCTCCAATAAGGGCCCTGAATGCTGCATCATTATGTGTGTGAGCTTTAAGATGTTGGCAAATATGCTCAATCTGTTTACGCCAGTATCCTGTATGAAACAAGGAGGAAAGCAAATTTCAAACAAAGATACCCTCTGAATTACTTCTGTTTTTATCCAACATAAAAAAAATATAGCAGGTAGACAGTTATTTCTGTCAGAGTCCAGTGTGGGTATGGGACAAATAGGTGATGATAGTGAATGTGCATGTCTGTACGCATTGACCGTGACATGACTGGTAACTCAGTTACAGGAACCGACATCGCATAAAAATACATGACAGCCCGTGTTGATCTTTAACATAGCCTTGAAGAGTGCACAGACTGAACACTGAGCTGTTTGAGGGAAACGAAATGAACAGACAGCACAACTAACGAGAGTTCTGTGCCTGGATGTTGAGACTGTCGGACTCATGTTTAGATTTTGCTCGTTATATCGTATTAAGTGTCGATTTAAGTGTGGTGACCAAAAGTCTGTGTTTAACTTGACCGTAGTATTATCTCAGTATGGTACAATGTTCGACTGCGATATAATTTTGGCCAGTAAATTATGTGGGTAGCTTGCTAGGTATTGAAGTTATTGCAGTTATTCTGTTAGCTAGGGTATTGTCATAACTGGTGACTTGATATGTCCTCACACACCAGCCCGCACTCGGCAGATGCTCCGCAGTCCTTGTGTGGGGCTCATTTACACAGGAAAGAGCTGTCGGAAATGGCACGGGTTCAGACCAGGTTATTATCCATGGGAACGTGCTGGCCTGGGAGTGAGAGGTGAATTGTAAAGCCCTCACACCCTTTGTTTCAGATAGGGGTGCCCATGACTTTTGAAGCAAACTGCCTGCTGTAAATTGGGCTGTACATTAAAGATTGATGTGTGTGCTCTGTGAGTGTTTGGTTTAGTGTGTTCTAGAGGTAGATTGTCTGTCAGTAGCCAACGAATGAGTCTTATACTGTCATGGCAGTAAACTAGGTCCCTTACATTTTGTTTTCATTGCTTTTTATGAAGGCAATCAAATATCTGGTTAATGTATCAGGTAATCGCAGTTTCAACTTCATAACAGATGGGTCACCTCATAGTTGCTCCATTCCTGTGCCAAAGAAAACCATACAGAATATCCAGCCTTGTCCCCTGTGGAAAAATCTGATTCAAACTGCAGTCTTAGCAAATCTAACAGTATACATGAACATTAAATGCATAAGGCAGTAGTCAGATGTGCACAAACAGTCTGACACTAGAGATGTAGTTCATTATCGATGGAAGCAGCAGTTATAACAGATCAGTAGTTGCACATGCAATCAATCGTATAAGGCTCCACACAGTGGGCCCCTTGTCTTTTTCCGAATATGCAGTTCACACACAAACCATGCCAGGCACTGTCAAAAAGCATTCCAAATGAAATCTGCAGCTCAGTGTCACACAATGTACTCAAATTAGGCGATGGAACTTATTTCCAGTTGGTCCAGACATGGAGAAAAATACAACAGCCAACTACTGTCAGAAGCAAAAAACTTGCCACGACTAAAAACAGAAAGCCTGCTTATCTGCCATACTGACCAGTAGCCATCCTCCTCCTGTAAATGTATTTCTCTCACATCTTTAAAGGCCTTAAATTTTTCTCTCACAGACAGTTATTACTTTTACTAATCCTATACCAAAAAGTTAAACTGGAAACTATCAGATGTCTCAGTATAATACATCATCATCATGTAGCAGGTTCTTTGCAGAACGTCGCTCATCACAGTCTGCCTGAAAGAAACTCGGTCTCTCGCTAGTTCTCCCGCCTCATGTATTTTCACATTCAAGAAGTCACCTATATCCTGTGCCCATATTCGTGTCGGTCGGCCCCTGCCCCTCCTTCCTGGTACCATGCCTTCTGCTATAATTTTTTCCAATCCTTTGTTGCGCTTGATATGACCAAAATATTTCAGCTTTCCAGAAAAGATGCTGAAATACATACACATCATAAAAAATGATGTGGTTAAACAAACATTTCAGCTAGAACAGGTTGATCTAACAATGCTCTTTGATAGAACAGAGTGAAAGCAGTAGATTTCATCTGGAGTGACCAACATAAGATGAACTGTTTGGTATCAAAAGAGTTAAGGTTGCTCTATCTCTGACATTTTCTTGCATTTTTTTTAGATAGATATCAGTTGGGGTTGCAAACGCCCTTTTGATCAAGAGACAATTTGTAGAGGATGAGTTTAAAATGTCATCTGACTGGGAGATAGCTGGTACAGGATGAGTTTAAAATATCATCTGACTGAGACAATTTGTAGAGGATAAGTTTAAAATGTCATGCGACTGAGACAATTGGTACAGGAAAAGTTTAAAATATCATCTGACCTCTTCCAGGGCTAACAGCAGTCAACAAAGGTTGTCTGTCTCTCATTTGTCTTTCCAGAGCTAGCTTCTCTTCCAGTTGCTCCTTCTGCATATCAATCTGTTTCTGGGACGGGTAGAATAAACCCACTGTCTGCGTGCCCACATCCTGGGACATTCTTCGGTCTTTGAGAGATGTGCTGCCAACACCTGGTATCCCTTGAGGGGATGGAATAATGAATCCAGCTGGGCTCACATTCACTGGCAACCATTTTGTCTAGGATAAAATGTTAAATACAAGATTGTACTGACAACCATTTTGTCTAGGATAAAATATTAAATACAAGATTATACAAGTACTAATTATTGAAATATGGATGTGACAACAAGACACGGTGTGTGTTTGTGTGTGTGTGCTTTGTGTGACTGTTCATGTATATGATTTGATTTGATTCAAGAACCGACATCACAGCACTCGAGGCATTCACATGTATATGTATATCTTTAATATTTAATATGAATGTGACAAGACTATGTGTTTGTATATAAGGTGAGTGAGTGTGTGTGCACATACACATGTAAGATTTAAAAAAAAGGGCTTGCTAGCCAGAGCTGGAGACTTGCTCTTACCAAGAGATCAATGTTCATTACAACGTGGGGAAATCTGGCCATACATTAGGTTGGCAGATTTTAATTTTAAAAAAAAAAGGAATCAACCACGTCACCAATGTGACGAAGCCAGCTATTGATCAAACATTGCAGGCTATGAGATTTGAAAAGAATATAAGCTGTAGGTTTACTGACTGTAAACTCTGGTGGAAAGCTCCAGAGTTTATACACTTCTGGAATTTGATCTTGCAGCAGAACTTGAGTTTTGTGAACAAATCTGTTTTAAAGACCTAGCTTACTGTTATTTCCTTGTCTCCCAGGCAAATGCCCTCAGACTTATAAGGAAACTTCCATCCTATCCACGTAGGTCAGACCCCCGGATGACCAATGAGAAGTACAGATCGGTCTTGGTCAGTATGAGCCCTGGGCTTGGTGAACCACTATGTGTGGTTCAGCACCACAGCATCCCATGACGGTAAACAGTCAGCAATTATACTCTGCTTGAAAAACTCACAAGAATGCTCAGTTACAGCACTGCTCACTTATTGGGGTCACAGGTCGACCCAGCCTCAAATGAGTACCAGGATGGGCTGTCCTGGGAAAGTAAAGACAGCCGGCGTAATGCTGACCACATTACCCACCGAGTGCCGATTGGTCTGTAAAAATATGGGTACTCTTCCCATATGCCTGATGCGCCTAAGGGCGTGTAAAGGGATCTTTACTTTACTTTTACTTACTCACTTATTGGGATGCAACCAAGTCATCATCTTCCACTACCTTTCATTGCTCAATGAAGCATATAGTAGAACCTCTAAAGGTTGACCTCAGAAGAGAATGTAACAAACTGGTAAAAGATTGTCAACATAGTGAAGACATTCAACACTGAGGGTGAAAACAGGTGGACTTTCAATCAGGTTGCAACTGGTACTATCTGCATATTGACTCTTTACTGGTTACTAAGGAAAGAGAAAGATCATGTGTGAGAATGTCCCATTCTTGATTCATTCATTAATTTATTCATGCCAACCCTATGTTGCCAACTCTAAAACCATGAATAGAATGCTGCCTGTTACTATTCTTTTATTCAATAATAAATGATGAAAACATCTAGACCGGAGCTGAGTCATCTTGTCCAGAATTCACCAAGTTGTACTAAACAAACAACTCAGCTCAACAAGGTTTAAACAAACAAAACAATAAACAATCTAGCACAGTAAACTAAATGCCAGTGTTCCTACTTACCCCTCCAGGATATTGCCCAGCCGATGTTGTTGTAAAA